GTGTTTCAAATAGTTAGAATTTAAATTTATGACGCTATTTAAAATTCAAACCATAATAAAAATATACAAAAAAGTAGAGCTATCGATTTGATCACAAATTAAGTAAAAAGTTTTAATGGAAAAAAGTTATAAGAATTCGAATAGAAATGAAATGACAACAACAAAAATTTTAGTTAATTTATTGAAGTTTGGCTAACCATACAATGCTGTTTCGAGTATTGCCAAGTACTCATCATCAGTGGTACTTCGAATTTTTTAATTAGTTTATAGTACGTATATAATTTGTTTGTATAGCAAGTGCCAGGCTTAGAACTCGTGCTTCTCAAATTAAAAGCGATGACTAATCGTGTTTTTTCACAAGTAGGCAATTTTTTTTATATTATTTTTTAAGTGATCTTTCTAAAAAGATCAATAATTATATAATTAGAACTTAGTGGACTGGTCACTTTCGTCATAAAAAAAACATTTCTGCCCAATTAGTGAATCAGATAGAGATATCTAAATAAAATTTGGTGAACTCCGGTCATATGACAGGAGACAGCGGTGCATATATTGTGCCAATGTCCACCACTGGCAAGTAGGAGGAAGACTGTCTTGGGACACCATTGAGTTGGTAATGATTTGGCAGGAAACCTCAAGCTAAATGAGCTGCTTGCATTAACAAAAGATGTAGTTATGCGAACGGAAGCCACTCTAGCTTTAACCCAATAACAACATTCGAGAATCGAAGGACGAAAAAGGACCCAAATAGTTTCGTGGTCTACTTCGACTAATCCTTCAACTAAGTGGGGCCACTTGTTGAACAGTGCGTTGTCCCAACGTCCCACCATATATAACAGGCGTTGAGTGTGATGAAGGATGATTTCAGTGCCGAACGGTTTAAAATCTACTAAAGGAGCATAGAGTCATGTAAATAAATTATAAACTAGACGGGTCACTTAGGTCATATGAAAAAAGTGTCTGCTCAAAATATCGTTTATATACAGATTGTATGGTATACGGTCAGCAATTAATGGTGGCCTAAGCTGAAAGAAAGGTGTTGACCATGATCTAATACGTGCTACACTTTTAGAGAATGAAAAAAATGAAATCTTCACACTAAAGTTATAAGAAGCAAGTCAATTTAAAGTCAAATCAGTTTAAAGCAGTGTAGGGTTGCAAATGGCAAAAACTAAAGTTCTGCCATCAAAGACCAAATACTCGTTAGTTCAATATCAACTAGTTGTTATGTTAACTTCTTTTACAAATTTTTGTAATTAAAAAAACAACCAAATTGGTACAGTTAGTTAATTAACACTTTTTTGTTTTTTATTAAAATTTTTAATATACAATATATATTTGAATTAAATTCAACACTGACTGCTTGCGTGCAAGATGTCAAAAGGTAGTAATCGATATCAGTCAATTGGCTACTTCTTATACAGTGCAACATTTCTAATGTATGACTTAATTACTTTAGTAAATTATATTGATATATACATATTTAATTTATATTAATAATTCAAATTAATATACATAATTGGAGTTTTTTTAAAATATTTAATTAGAGGTGTGTATATCTGCGGACCATGAATAAAGTTTATGCAAGTATAGTTAATCGAACGAATTTTTGAGTTAAAAACTATTATAAATATATATATAACCCTTTCTATTAAGGGTTAAAAAAAATATAATAACAATGGACACAAAATAAACAAATGTATTGTATTTTACTATACTTTTTGAAAACACTTACTAAAAGGCTTCAATTTAATTAAGAGGAAATTAACTCTTTATAAATCGAATAAATTTAATGCGATTCAATCACACAAAAAAATTATATTAACAAAATTTCTTGAATTAGCTAATTAATACTCGGTTAATTACTATTAGTGAGTAGTTTTTTTTTTCTCAAGAAAATTAACACATTCAAAACCATTGTGTCAGTCAGTCAATTCAGTCATTTTCGCAAGTATTAACACAGTTTCGCAGTTCAGTGAAATTCATTTAATGTTTACAAGGATTTTTGCCAAAAATTGGCAAAACAAAAAAAACTGTACCAGGAAAGTCCTTTCCTTGCCAAAAGGAAAAAAGAGCAGCACAATAATGGCGAAAAACGGATTTAGCTTAAGGATATCAATGTGTATACACGACAACCATAAAAATTACTTATAATTTGGATGACTGTGTAAGTGGTGGAATAATTGATCCTTTAATTTTTGGCAAATTTTGTCAGTTCTGTAAAAGTCATTGACCAAAAACTTTTGTTTAAGAAATATAAGTAAATTCTGAATTAAATTAAAAACTAAGAAATTTATTTATACAAGCTTAAATGCTTTTATATTCAAAAAAGTTTATAATTCATTATGTAAATGAAATATTTTTTATAAATTTTTTATGGATATAAGTATCTGAAAACTCTTTAATTAAAATAACTGGCCTGTAAGCAATATGATGCAAATAAAAATATTCTGTAACCTTACTACACAAGCATATTCATGTTACGTTAAGCGCAACCCTTGTATCCTTTTTATACGAATAAGAGCAGTTGGGTTATTTAATTAAATATTCGAAAACTCTGTGCCTGATTTCTGTGATACTCAAAAGTTTTACTATTGTAAAATTTTCCTTAATTTGGGTGTTATGCGGATCTTAAAGTTTTTTTTTGTTTGTGTTCGTTAAAACAAAATGAACTCATTTAGCAGCTGATTAGGCTAACACCAAATTGGTTCACACCCCAAAACTAATACATTAAACTGAGGCAACAGGAGAGGAAGTGGCAATTTCAGTGTCTGTTTCACATAAAACCCATCAAATTAACATAATTTTATTTAATTAACATCAAAAATTTTGACAGAATTTATATATATACGAAGTATAAATTTCATTAAAATTTTTTTATACGTATGTGACAGTATATAGTGAAAATATATGAAAATATATATATATATATATTAAGTATGTATGTTTTTAATTATTTGCTCAGTTATCCGTAATAAAAATTCAATTAAATTTGTGTAGCCTAAAAGTTAATTAAAGATAAATAATTGAGGAGTGTACATAGGATTGCCTGATTAGATTTTTCTGTTTACCATGTAAATAATGTTAGTTTTATATATAAATTAACATTTTTATTAAGCCTAATTTAATGAAAAGATAATATTTTTCAACCAAAGTCAACGCCTTCATTTTAATTCTATGTTATTATCACAAAATTTAATTATGCCCAAAAATAGGCGTTTTTTGCTATTCATACTCATACATTTGCATAACTATGTTTACAAACTTATTTAAACTTATATGTTTAATGTACATATTGTATATATTATATGGTTTATATATTATGTAAAAATTGCTAATGTTTCATAATTTATTTAATTTTTTTCTCAGGATGGTTCATAACAGATGATTTGTAACAATAGTATTTAAATTATATAAATTAAAAAATAATATTACAAACATTTATTTGACATGTAAAATATAAACTTTTATCGAACTCTGTAGCACATGAAACGTACCCTTTACAATACAACTCTACATTACATTCTCTTGACATGACGACTGAAAGCTTAATATATTATATTCAAAAAAACACTTTGTGTGATGAAGTTTTAGTAAACCATATAATATTTCTAACTTCTAGTGTAGTTGACAATTAATTTTTATGCATTAACTAATTTAATTATCTGACTATTTTGCTTAAATAAATGATGTTATAAAATTAGACTAATATATCCGCTATATTCCAGCGCAAATTGATCATAACTTAAAATCATCTACCCAAATAATGAATATTTTATTGATGTATATATGAATATGTTCAGGATGAATAAATATATATCCAAGATACATTTATTCGCTAAAA